GGCGTCAGGGTGAGCGCATTCTGCTGGCTCGTGGAGGGAGGGGCGGGCGAGGAAACACGAGCATGTAACCGAGACAAACCAATCTCGCCGACAGCGAGATGACTGCATCTTATCTGTCTGTGTGTCAGGAACCCCCACGACGCAGAGAAGGGCGAACCTGGCGAGAGCGTCTTCATCGTCAGCTGACTCACACCCACACACACCGCCATCCACCCACCATGTGTGTGCCGCTCTCCGATGGTGTGTGCAGGAGCTGGAGCTCAAATCGATAGCTGACGCGGGCCTGGTGGGCTTCCCAAACGCAGGGAAGTCGACACTCCTCGGAGCGGTCAGCGACACACACACACAGGCCCACCCATCCCTCCGCCTGTCATCCCTGTGTGTGTGTGTGTGCAGATATCCCGTTCGTGTCCCAAGATCGCGCCCTACCCCTTCACCACCCTGGCGCCACACATCGGCCGCGTCGAATACGCCGACGGGCAGACCATCTCGGTGGCCGACCTCCCCGGCCTCGTCGAGGGCGCGTCCATCAACATCGGCCTCGGCCATGAGTTTCTGCGTCACATCGAGCGCACCATGGTGCTGGTCTATGTGGTGGACATGGCCCACAGCCCACTGCCGCCCCTGCAGACCTTCGAGGCGCTCAGGCGAGAAGTGGCCGCCTACTCGCGGCAAGTGGTGGAGAAGGTCTCTTGCGTGGTGAGCAATGACTCCACCAAAGAGGCGCTGACACACACGGATATGAGTGTGTGTGGGGTGCAGGTGGCCAACAAGTGTGACATTCGCCCAGACGACACCCTGCCCAAAGTCGATGAGTTCTGGAAAGAGGTACCCACACACATAGCCCTCCTTAGACATGCACCTCCCCCCACTGCCCCCTCTCTTCAGATGCAGGCCTACTACCCCGGCGTCCCCGTCATCGCCCTCAGTGCCCGCCTGGGCCAGGGGGTCCGCACTCTCGTCAAGCGGCTCAGGCGGCAGGTGGCTGAGGCACAGTCGCGGGAGGCGAAGGCCCTGGAGAGCTACACCAGCCGGGCGGCCGGCGTGAGTGAGCAGTACGACAGACAGGAGGAATTCAGAAAAGAGTGGAGAGCGATCGAACAAAGATATGGCGCGTGACGAGGTGGAGCGGTGGTTGGTGGATGTGGTCTTCTCCCTGGTGCTGCTGGTCGATGTGACCTTACTGATTGAGTCCATGCAGTCTGCCAGCAAAGGTGCGGACACAATGGACGAGCACCAGCCGGCCTCCACTTCCTTCCGTCTCTCGTGAAGGGCCTATGGGTACATGAGACACTGCCATGGGTAGCACTGCCCTCACTGGTCTTTTTGTCGTGGCTTTTGGTGGCTAATCTATCTACCTGGCGCCGGCCATGCCATCGCTGTGTGCCAGGTGTTGAGCAGGCAGGTTCGGTGCACGTGTGTCTTGGACTGTTGATGTCAGTGAGGCGATGCGATTTTCGAGGGCACTCCATGGAGCTCATGAAGGGGTCCCACTCAGTGCCAATGAAGGTGAACACCACCTCACCATGCACACACTCCTGCAAACCATGGCATGAAACCCTCCATTGCAAAGGTCAACAAGAAATGCAAGCCGTTCCGGTCCACACTGCTGGCTGGTCGAGCGATGAGGCCTCTCTGAGCACCCGGCAGAGGTCAAATGGAGGCCCTCTCCGCCTAAGCATGAGCATCTCAGGCATCACACCTCCACCTGGCCGGCCAGAAAGATCGATCAAAGTGAGGGATGTCACGCGATCTGACCTCTCTGCGGCAGCAGCCATCCTTTCTCCCTCTGTCTGCCTCTAACGGCCTCCCGTTGTCCACATGCAGAGAACGAAATTCAAATGCAGATTTTCGCGAGCTGAGACGGAGACAAAGATTTACGAGACTGCGGGCCCTTCTTCATTATTTTCCGTCCCAGTTCGGCTTTGCAGCCTTGTTTCGGCCACAGATTCTCCGTTTCCTTTTCTTTTCGGCTGGTTGTTGGCTTGTGTTGCCCGCCGCACCTCCCTCTACCCCTCCCAACTCGTCCGGACGTCGCCCGCCACTTTTTCCTCCACGCCGTGCCTCGGGTGAGGCCTCGTTTGGTGGCGCCCTGACTTCTGCGGAGCGGCTGGCGACTGCCTGGCGCCTGCCGAGTGCGCACGCACCTTCGCATAATGGATGTCGGATGAATCGCTGCCGTGTTTGTCTTGTCAGGCCTTCCCGGCGTTGGGCGGTGCCACGAAAATCAGCAAGACGACCAAGACGGCTGCCAAGGTGTGAAAAGTGTACACAGAACGGCATACTCGTATGGATGGGCATATGTGTGCATTTTACTGCAGACCAGTGGCAAGAACACGCGTATGCACATAGAGCATGAATCTTACGTCCGTACATGTGTTTGCGGTGGGATCGGATCCCGAACCGTCGACATCCGAAGGATCGATATCATCGCCCTCGGTTTCCCCACAGGCCATGCCCAGGTCACAGCCCGGCTGCTATGCTTCTGTTCAGCTCTGAGGCCAGTGAAGACTACGTTACTTGGCTGTGTTCAGATGTTGCTGTCTGCATTTCATATTCGACGGGCTCTTCCGTTCAGTCGATCACTCCTCCAGGCGATTGCAGGAGAGTGCTGGCTGCTGTGTGTGCAGGTCGATGGCTGCCTACATTTTATATCTTTGGGACCTTTCCCCTACACGGCTGCGATGCACCTACTTCATCCAAGCTCTGGCGCTGTGCATCGATCCCATTAATATCCCCGGCGGCGCCGCAGGTACGTAAGTGCGAGAGAAAAAAGAGCGTCATGAAGATTGGCTCATGTCTCGCCTCTTTTGCAGTCATCCGTTGCAGCCCATCGTCAAGCCCCTCAAGCTCAAGACCGACTCGACGACGACAGTGGTGCGCACACACCTACAGACAATCGCACGCACGCACGCGGGCACACACAGAAAGAGAAGCGAATATGTGTGTGTGTGCGTCCTTGTCGACCTTCCTGTCTGCGTGCCCTCCCCGCCTCTGTGTTGGTGCGTGTTCAGACACTGTCGAAGACGCAAAAGAAGAACATGAAGAATGCCGCCAAGAAGAAGGCCAAGAAGGCCCTCGCGTCGCAGGTACACAGATGAGTGCGCCATGCATGCAGGGGTGAATGAATTCATTGTCGTGTCTGCCGTTCAGGTTGGTCCAGTGAGGCCTGAGATACCTGTCATCGAGGAGCCAGAGGTGCGTGTTGATGCGTACACGGTGGACACAAACCCGCACAGTGTGTGTGTGTTCATTCAGTTTCCGTTGGACTTGGACATTGCGGCCATCAACGTCTACGAGACCATCAAGTTCAAACACTTCAACATGAGCCTGGTGAGTGAGCACACGAGGGTCCCAGACTCTCGCTGCTGACCTTTCGACTGGTCCCTCTTTCGGTCTCAGGATGAACAGGAGTTGGCGGCTACTCGAGAGGTAGCCAGGGCCACACACAGAAACCCATGCATCGTTGTCTTGCCCTCCGTCTGTGTGTGTATCCTGTGCGCTCATCTGTTGGTTGCAGCCCGTCCTCAAGCCCGTCTACCTCAAGACCGACTACCTCAAGACCGACTCAACGGTGGTGGGCACACACCTACAGACAATCGCACGCACAAGCAGAAAGAGAAGCGAATAAGTGTGGGTGTGTGTCCTTGTCAGGTGTCGGATGACACTGGCGACGATCGCACCTACGAGCTATGGACTCACACAGACCCTTTCTTGCGTACCCCTTCGGGGGGCCGGGGGGCAAGGTCCCCGTGAGGTTAACGAACGAACGAACGAGCAGACGGACGGGAGCGACGTGGACAAGGTATCTATCGATCGACACACAGCACCCACACGCACACACACAGGCAGACCGTCTGTGAACACTTACATGTGTGTATGCGTCTGTCTGTCTCTGTGTGCAGTTCGTGAGTTCGAAGACCATCCGGAACCGCAAGTCGCGCCAGCGACGCAAGGCTCGCAAAGCCGCCGCCAAGGTAGGTCGATGTGCACACTCACACACTCACACACAGATGGGCTCCCGTCTGTCGTTCATCTGCTCTGCAGAGCGGCAAGAAGAGCAAACCTTCCCTCAAGGACGAGTTCGCTGAGGAGCCGGAGCCGAAGACGAAGACCGTGGCCATCCAGGTACATACAAAGTGAAGGAACCGCACACCCACACTCACACAATGGTGTTGTGTGTGTTCAGGTGTGCCTCATCCCTGCGCTGCCACTGAGACCCCTCACGTCGATTGGCAGAGTGAGTGACGCACAGCAGCACATACACGTAGGCAGAGAGGTGTCCATGTGTGTGTGTGTGTGTGTGTGTGTGCAGGAGGCAGCACCCACCAAAACGAGCCAAGACAACAAGCGGAAGAAGCACTTCAAGAGCAAGGCATGCATACACTGGGAAGTTAGGAATGCGAGCCCTCAGTGTCCCTGTGTGTGTGTGTGCAGATGGCTGCCTACATTCTATATCTGAAGATCGTGTCTCCCGCGTTTGCCGTGCAGCTGCCCCCTGCTCTGCTCATCCGTTCGTAAGGATGCAAACTATCACACAGAGGACAGGTTTGGTGTGCTCGTGTACAGGTATCTAGCAGCAAGACAACCACCACTGGCACCGAGACTGAGAAGACCAACACCGTCACAACAGCCAAGGTGAGGCGCCTTTGACACAAACAAACTGTGTGTGTGTCAAGTTGATTGCCACGCTTTGCAAGGATCTGTCCAACAAGAAGACGAAGGCGTCCAAGAATGCCACCTCGGAGGTGGACACACACACACAACACACGCGACACACACTACACACAAGAGTGTCTTCCTGTTTGTGTGACGCAGGACGTCGTTGTCGACGTCGACAAGGTGTCTACATCGCAGTACAAGTTGGACCTCTACTGCCCACCGGCTGCCTTCAAACTCAAGTTTCTGCCATTCACAACGAAGGTCGACGCCCATCACACCGACCACACACACAGAGGAACGCATGAATGACTGACTTCCTGCTTGCGTGTGGGTGCTTGCAGGTGTCCAGCAGCTACACGACCACTACAACCACAACCACCACTGGCACCGCAGCCACCGTGAGCGAGACGAGGCGCACAGATAGACGGCCTTCGACACAAACAGACTGATGCTTTGTGTACACAGGAGAGCACTTCGACGAAGAAGGAGCGCAACCGCGCCCGCCACCAGCGGTACAAGGCGTCGACAGGCAACTTCAAACACTCCCTATGTGCCGCGACGCACACTTGATTCCAATATCGCTGCAGGCGGCAGGTAAACACAGGAGAAGACAAATTTGCGCATTAATGACCAATCCCCGGCCACCAACACGTCGTCAACCATGACTGAAATGGCCTCCACACCTAGCACGGTGAGTGACCGCCAAGCACACACATCGACAGGTGCTCTCTGCACGTGTTGTGTGTGCACTCAGTCCACCTGAGCAAGAACAAAGCAACAAGAAATCCAGACAGGTACACACACCGACAAACACGCCAACGAATCCAGCGCCGCATCAGAAGGCGACGAACCCGATCATCATCAGCAGAAGACACCAACCACAGCGGTGCGGCCGCATGGACTGCGGACGCTGTTGAAGGATTGGTGGCCTACGTCAAGACGCCGGACGGTGGCACTCCTATAAGTGTGACGCTGCAGATGAGCTGGACGATCCGCGAAGCAAGGCGGCGTATGATACGCGACACGTGGTTCGGTGTAGGGCCAAGAGGACGCTACACATACAACTTCGACAAGTGAGGAATGACATACGCTGGTCATCCCATTGCTGTGCAGCTGCATGCATTATCGTGCCTTCAGCATCACGCTCGACAACCTCCAAGCGACAGTACAGGACGAGTACACCAAGCTGGCGCAGCATGGGGTCGCGACGAATCCAATCATCATCCACCGAGAACTCCAACCAAAGCGCCGCAGATGGCTGCTTACATTTTATATTCGGACGTCCGTGTCTCCCAAGCGACGACAGACAACGTAGAGACAGACCCGCCCGAGAGGGGGCGAAGAGAGGCGGAAGATAGAGGACTTTCATGGCAGGGACGACTGGATGAATGGTAGCCTGCTGTGTGTGCACATCGATGGCTGGCCTCAGCCCTGTAGCACTACTAGTATAAGGGCTGAGGCGAATAGATGGCTTGACTATGGCTTGCCATGTATGGCGTCACGAAGTGTGAGACGCGGTGCCCATACACGTGTGCACAATCAATGTCGACATGCTTTGCATTTATCCAAATTTGAGCCTCTCATCGATAGGTCATCACCTTCTGAGTGTCACGACACACACATGAATCCTTGTCCATCCACACAGCAGCACAGTGATGATGATATTCACTGCGTCACACATGAAGATTAGCTATATATACAGAAGAAGGCCGTCAACTTTGTGGTATACACACAGACAGCAGTCAGCAGACTAAAACCAGTAGGACAACACGCCAGGACATGCGGCCTCCCACGCCAGCGGCACAGAACAGGGGGGCCGCTTCTTGACGCCGTCCATCCATCCCTGCCCCTGTTTGGGACATCACATCACACACATGCGATGCACCCAGAGCCGCATCTGCCCACTGACTCTCCACGACAAGTTCACCACCGCCGCCGCATCAGAGAGCCAAATGGGACGGTCCATCTGACGTCTGATGCGACGATGGTGGCGAACCGATCAGACAAAGTCAGTAGGCAGACACCAGCCAGTGATAGCCTTTCTGTTGTCGATACAGACCGCCCCGCTGTTTCCGCCGCTCTGCCCACTGCGCCGCCCGCCCCAGACGCTCTGCGTGTCCTCGACTCTAATCGAAACACACAGTGAATCTGGTCTGGGCCGTACAGTGGCCAGAGAGGCAAGAAAGTGGAGCTGGCAACAGGTGAGTCACTTCGAGAAAGACACCGCCACACGAACCCCTCGTTACAGAAAGACAGCACACAACGGACTGAACCGCCTCTCTCAGCGCAAAAGACAACAGCACCATCTCACCATCACCAGCAGCAGCAGCAGCAGCAGTGTGTTTGTGTGTGGTCGGCCGATCGGCTCATTGTCTGTCTAAGCGGTGAGTCCGAGTTTGTTGGCCTCTTCCTTCCAGGAGGGGTACATCTTGTTGAGGGCCTCGACGTATTTGACTTTGGCCTCATCGGCCGACAGACCCTTGACACTGCTCCACGCCTCATGCTTGGCCTGACCACACAAAGGCAACACGCACCACCGACACACACGACGTGTGCAGTGTGTGTGCCGCTGATCTCCGTGCGCATCTGTCTGTGCCACTCACTCACTGCTCACATTGGCCTCGAACTGTATGGCCCAGGGCGCGTCGCCCTTGCAGTCGCCCTCCGTCGCCTGCTTGTAGTACCTAACCGGCCATCACCACACCACAGCAGCCCAAGTGCATGCCGCTCTGGAAGTCCCTCTCTGTGTGTGCCGTGCTGTGGTGTGTGTGTACTTGTAGAAGTTGAGCCTGTCGTCCTGCGTCGGCTTCACCGGCCCGTCCTTGGGCATCGACTGGACGAACTTGGCGGCAAGCGCGAAGTCTGACGCAGAGGCCATCGCTGGCAGGGACGACGTGTGTGTCAATTGGTGTGTGTCGGCAGGGAGGAAGATGGGCGGGGGAGGCAGATCACACAGGAGAGATCAGCAGCGGTCTTCGAGCTGCGGCAAGAGGCTCAGATGCAGAGACGGAGACTAACCCCTCCACAAGTCACCAAACATCCGGGTTTCTCGGGTTCAGGGTTTGAAATCTAAGCTCGCGGGGGTCGGAGGGGGAGGCGGAGAGATGGGGGAGGTCATCTCTTTCCCCCAAACCGGGACGTGGGTTGACGGTGCCGAGTTGGCCAGCGAGGAGTGGCGAGAGGAGGTTATTCGTCTAGGTGAGAGCGAGCGCCAGTGCACCACGGCCGAAGCGAATCAGTCCCTCCCTCTCTCTCTCCCACTGCTGAAACAGGAAAGATGCGTCCGCCACTCTCGGGTCCGTGGCGGTGGGTGGCGGACAAGAGGGATCCGGAGATCGCACTCCTACACGAGGCTGCCACTGTGCGCGCCCTGCAGCGCCGGCTATGGCCGCTGCTCAGTCGCGACAACTTGGCCAGCCGCGCGGAGTACGTCGTGTTTGAGGGGTTCGAGGCGGTGTGTTGGGGCGCTACTGAGGAGCTGACGCTTGACGAGGCCTTCGGCTCTGTTGGGCGCACCTACGAGAGGCCGCTCATCCTCTACGGAAAAGGTACGGATGAGCGGGGGCCACCTCACACACACACACACACACACACATTGATCGACTCTGTTATGTGACCGGCTTACTTACGCACAGAGCCCTCGACGTTGATCGGGTCACCCTTGGCGACGCCAACAGCTGGCGCCACCCCACCTGATGGTGAGCAGGCAAACTTGTGCCTTCTCGCTCACTCAACCCACTGCGATGGTGCTGCCGCTCGTTTGTTTCTCTCTCTCTCTCTCTCTCTCTCTCTCTTTCAGCGAGGTACTGTGCGACCGACCAACGTGACGCGGTGAGAAAGCGGCATGACGCGCAGCATCTGAAGGTCCAGAAAGGGGAGGACACCGACACGGCAGAGGAGACAAAGAGACTCCTCTCACGCAAACACGACTAGCTGACTGAACGCTGCTGTATCTGACGGCGGGAGGGATAAGCTCAGTGTTCTTTCTCAATAAGCCGATTGTGACACTGTTGTGTGTTGATGGATGGGTGGGTTTGCAGTGAGTGAGTAGGTCGTACGTGATGGACGGACGTCTTGATATCGCATATCGACGGCCTGCATGCCATGGCTGCTGTTGAATAGAATTAATTGCCCACTCGCTCCAAATGAGCGCAGTCGAGCAAGCCGCGTGAAACGTTTCTTTCGAGGCAGTTTGTCATCGTTCTGTTCTTTGTAGTCGCCAAGGCCGCATAGGTCGTCCTGATGGTGTTTCTTCCTGACCCACTCTGTAACCATCTCGCCTGACTCATCGCCCGACGACCAGATGGCCGACGGCAGCAGGGGTAAAGAGGCACTCAACGACGCCACACGAGGCGGCAGCGGCGCCCCAGCGACCCACCCGCCACCCTCTTTGCCTCAGAACGACCCTCATGTCGATGATAAGGCTCAGCCGACGAGCGATCTGCCGACAGGACCTCAGGGCGGAGGTGCGGCATCTGTTGGCTCAGCGAAGGCAGGCAGCGGACAACAGGATGCGGCAGACGCCAAGCAGGCGACTCGCAGCATCGTGGAGCGTGTGTTAGAGGTGCTGGTGAGAGAGGCCGTCCGCCACATACACAGTGCGGAGGAGGCCAGCGATGGTCAGGAGGGGGCGGCTGGTGCTAAGCAGCTGGATGGAGAGGCCGCCAAGGTCGAGGCGAGTGGCGGTGTGATGGAGCGTGTGTTGTTGGCTTTGGTGCGGGAGGCCGTCCGCCGCATACACAGCACACAGGGCAGCCACCGGGCCGCCATACCCAGCCCCCAGAAGCACCAGCTGAAGTGCAGCCGCTCTTTCGCCGGCCGCCCATCGCTCGAGGACAGCGACACGGCACCTCGGCTGCGGCGCACCAAGTCGTCCCCGGACCCCGCTGCTTCCCTGCAGCACCAGGACCAGCAGGGCGGCGGTGGCGATGCTGACCAGGACCAGGATGATGATAACGATGCTGACCAGGAGGATGGCGATGATGACGGAAACGGGGGGGAAGAGGAAGAGGAAGAGGACGAGGATGTCATCGTCGACACACGGCCTGCTCCAGTGAGGCAGGAGGGAGTGGTAAGTCCAAGATTCCTATGTCATGTGCGAGGTGTATCTGTGGTGTGGTGTGGTGTGGTCAGGACGCGTTCGTGCTGTGCAGGGCGGGTAAGCGGCTGGAGTCGCTGCGTCTCCCCATCAGTGTGGGTGCTCGCAAGGAGTATGAATTGCAGTCGATGATATCGGTGCATCGTCTCACCGCACAGGCCACTGGTAAGTCAGCTACCTGACCCGCAAAGCAGCGCCATGGTCATTCACCCTGTGTGCTGCTGTGTGTGTGTCCAGTTGTGTCGTGGGAGGAGGGGCAGGACGCCAGGAAGCTCATCTGCCAGATGGTAAACAAAACACAACAAACCCCCCCCACACACACCCACACACACACGCATATGCTGGCTTCTCTGTTGGTTTCGGTCATCAGCAACGGGCGTTGCAGATCCCCGGTCGCGAGAAGGACGGCTTCATCGCCGCCGAGACCGACACGCCACCCGAGCCCATCGATCAGAATGGGGGCGTCGACGGGCCTCCCCTCACCGCCTCCCTCCGTGAACGAATCACGGAGGCTCTGTCCGACAAGTCGGGTGAGAGCAGCGGCAGCGGTGCATCTGATGACCAGAAAGACGGTGGTAGTGGTGACGGCAAGGGCGGCGGCGGGAGCAGTGCCGCCGGTGGCGAGGGCGCCGGCAGCAGTGGGGGTGGGGGGAGGGAAGCGACCGGCGCGTCTGCATCTGCAGCGTCGGGTGGCGAATCGCCCTCGGCGGCGTCGTCAGACAGCCCTCCCCCGCCCCCCTCACCGCCCCAAGAGTACGGCCCCAAGACCCTCTTCGATGCGCTCGAGTGTCATCCCTTCTGCAGTCTTGCACGCCAGAACTTCGTGTACCAGTACCTCAACGGTGACCAACACACACAGAAGACACACAGGCACACAGACAGCCCATCCATCCGGTTGTCTGTCTGCGTGTGTGTGCAGCGTCTGCCAAGCTGCCGATCTGCCCCAAGCCCGTGCATTATGAGACGCAGGTCGTCCAGCAGGGGGCCGTCAAGGATGGCGACTTCGGCAGTGCGGCTGTCGACTTCTACGTCAACGAACAGCTGGACTGCGACCTGGAGAGCGTTATGCGCTACGCCCGGCAGTGGGCGGCGGGGCAGACGGAGGGCCAAGAGGGGGACGACTGGCGACCCGCCAAACTGATTCTCGAGCTGTCCATCGAGGCGGTATGCCCTCATACACACATACTGGAGAGCTGTGTGTCGGGTTATCACGCCCTCTCTCTGTCTGTCATGTGTGTGTGTCTGCAGGTCCGTTCATTGCGAGAGCTCCACTCGCACGGACTCGTCCACGAGCACGTCAAACCTAGAGTAGGCACCCCTCCCCCGAAGACAACAGCCAATGCACCACATCACTCACGGCGCAACTCTCCTCCCTCCCTCCCTCCCTCCCTCCGTGTCAGAATATGATGGTCAAGTACGGCCACGGCAAGCGTGTGTACCTGGTGGACCTCAAGCAGTGCCGACCTGTCCGCTCCAAACCTGGCGATGATGACGAGACCATGGGCCGCAATCGGCGAGGGATGTTCAGTCACTCGTGGCACCTCGCACCCATCGCAATGCACAACGCCGAGCCACCGGCATTCAAGTAAGAGAGCACTCTGTCGCACTTAGCTCAACCAAGGGCCAAGGGTGGGTATGCCGGCCTCGTGGCTGCCTGCTTTCCTGCCTGTAGGGATGATCTGGAGGGCCTCTGCTACTCGTTGCTGTGTCTGCTCAAGGAGAAATCGCTGCCGTGGACAGACCCCAACAACATCCTCGCCCTTGGCCCGCTGATCTCCCTGACATTAGATAACACCCTGGCGGACTTAAAGAGATACACCAACATAGACGAGGCGTGTGACAGGCTGCCTGGTATGGGGAGGCGGGAGGATGATACCCACAGAAACGGCTCACTGGTATCTCTGTGTCCGTCTCTGTGTGTGGCCAGGTGGTGTGTGTGCGTTTGTGAAGGAGGTGCTTGGCTACGGGAGGCTGCAGCTGCCGCGATACGACCACCTGATCGACTTGCTGCGAACAGCCATCGACCAGTGAGCACACCCAGTGGGGTGGACGGACGGACGGATGGATGTGCCAACGTCGTGTGCCTTCTCCTGTGGTGTGTCAGGTTGCCAGCCTCCGAGCATTTGCGTCGGCTGCCCTTCTTGGATGAGTCCCTCATGCCCCCCGGCTGCCGCATCGCCCGGCAGTTCACCGACCAACACAACCTCAGGCGACTCAAGAAGCTCTCCAGCCCCCCCGGCGCCTTCGCCGAGACCGAGCTCACACCCCCGCCCCCCACACCGCCCCTCCCACCACACACGCCCCCGTCGCCCCCACCTGTGGCCAACCGACGCATGCAAGGCGTCACGAAGCGCCTGAGGGGCATGGGCCTCCTTGCCTTGGGCGCCTTTGGGCGGGCCATGACCTCCCAGTCTCTGGGCTCGGCTGCCGGGGGTCTGAGAGGTCCCTACAGGGGCACCTTGGCTGGGGCCCTGGCCACACAGCCGTCGCTGGACGAGCTCCGTCTTGGTGCGCTGATGGACCCCCCGCCCCGTTTCGTGTGGCTGCCTAGCGAGATGACGATGGTTGCCGAGTTCCTGCTGTGGGCCACACAGCCGCCGGCATATCGGCTCATCAAGAGGGCCGCCAAGGGCGACCAGGGGGGCAGCGAGCCGCCCGCTGTGACGCTGTCGACACTGCCGGAGAACTGTCTGTGTGGCGTGACGGACTTCATGACGACCCTCGAGATCATTGGCCGTGTGGGCACGTGGGCCTCCGCCTTCCGCCCCCTCGCCATCAGGCCCGAGTTCCACACGCGGCTGACCATCGCCGGCGAGCCGGAATGGCACCGATTCGACCTCGCCGTGTCGAGCCTGTGGGCGCCGCGAATGACACTCATCTCGACGGCCGACATCAAGCCCCCTCCGCCCCGCCAGCCCGACAAGGCCCGCATAATCGTGCAGAAGCAGCCGGTGGGCGAGGGCGAAGTGCGTGAGATCGACTCGTCCATGAGCCCCTCGCCGCCCTTCGACAGCGTCAACGACTCTGCCATGTGTGTGCCCTTCGCCCACCCCTTGTCGTCGATCCTCACTGGCGCCATCCGGCCCCCATTCATCCCGCCCACCCTCCCGGCCGTCAAGCACTACGCCGACCCGCCGTCCCTTTTCTCGGCCAAGAGCCCCCTGCTGCACAAGGCCCACACCACCGGCAGCACACGCACCGTCCTGCACCCCCGCAGCCCCTCCCTCCAGCCACTCGCCATCAACGGGGTGGTGGGTGTGCTGGAGGCATCGCACTCGACGTTGGCCGAGCTGCGTGTGCGTGACGGGAGGGCGGACCTGCCGGCAGCGGCCTACGGCTTCAAGCCGCCCCGCCCACCTGGCGTCGACCGGTCTGGCGACGCTATGTTGGAGTTCCCGAAGCTGACGACTGTGGTGGTGCCATCGGACAAGGCCAACCTCAGCGGATTCACTAAGGTCAGGGACAGACGGACAGAATGAGACCGACCAGTCATGTGTGTCTCCCTCTGTGTGTGATGGGTGGGCAGGTGGCGTATGTGTGTCGGTGGTCTCTGCCGAATCTGACGACGTTGACGGTGACGGGCGGCTGCCGCCCTCATCTGAGCCGCAGCGTGACGACCAGCATCCACTTCGCCGGAGGGCACCACACAGACGTGGCCTATGAGGACGCCACTCGGATACTCGAAAGCAGCACGGCAGAACACATCAACAGGGAGAAGTTCCGGTACGCACAGAGACCCATTCGAGACAGGCACACCGATCTGTGTGCTCTGTCTGTCAGCGGTGAGACATTGGGTGTGTATGTGGGCGCCTGGATGAACAACACTGATAAGATGGAATCGGTTGAGGTCACCGACATGCCGGTCGGTGAGGGAAGACACCACACAGAGTCCATCCATTCTCTCCCTCTGCTGTCCTCTCTTGACAGGTTGACGTGCTGAAGGCCGCCCTGTGGTTCTCTCGCGACGGCGGGCTGCCCCACCTGCGCCGCCTCACCGACACCAGCGGCCCAGATGCCACCGACCAGACACTCCGCCAGCTCAAGACCCTTCTGCACAAGAAGGGGGCGCCGCTGGCCGATCAGATAGCGGTGCGGCAGACAGCCGACGGCAGCAGTGATGATGGCGGTGAGGGTGAGGGCAGCGGAGAGAAGCGGGCGTATGCGGATCGCTGCCACAACCCCTAGACAGACAAGAAAGATACCGATGGGGTAAGTAAGATGCTGAGAGCCATGTGGCCCATTGATTGGCTCATGAGGGCGTCATATGTGCGTGTGTGTCGGGTGGGTGGGTGACAGGACGGATGGAGTGATACGGGAGGGGCGGGGCGGGGAGGGGCACAGGACAGCAGGACCACTCATCTGACTGACTACAGAAATGACATGGTGTGTGTGTGTGTGTGTGTGTGGAGAGCCTGATTGATGTACAGCTTCTCATTCACTGCAGTGCTTTGACAGACAGACAAACTGCATGCAGATGTCAGAAGGACCGGTCCGGTGGTGCGATACGATACAGCCGCCACAATGGGAGAGCCACACACCCACACCCACACCCACATCCACACCCACACACAGAGAGACAGACAGCCCGCTATGCACACCAAAGAATGCCATCCACAGCACCGAAGCACAGACCACATTCTGTGCCACTCAGCAACCCTTAGAGCAGCACCTGGCTTGCCCACAATAAGTAGAGCCGTCACATGGCACTATTCCGCCCGAGAATCGATGAAGCTGAAGTTCTCGGGGGCGAATTTGCGGAAGCATGGAAGGACTGTGCCAACAGCACGCCACACACACAGACGCACGCACACAACCCCGCACAACGCTCCAGCTGTCACACGTTTTCTTTCCTCTCTAATCTGCCAGCCTACCTCGGGCGAAGGTGACATCGACGAAATCTTCCCCTCGGCCTGTTCCGCGGTGCGCAAGTTCGTCCACTGACTCAAGGCCAATCTCTATCTCATCCAGGAGGTAGTCGATGGTTGGAGCTGAGTCGCACCACTGCCGCTTGATTCGCCGAAGAATGAAAGACTTGAACTCGTCGATGTCCACAGGAGGATGGGGGATGTCCCTCGGTGTCGTCAGCGTGAGAACCACATCTCGGTGCGGGAAGAAGTTGATCAGACAAACGACCTTGAAGTTGGCGGCATTTGTATTGGCGGACTGGACAGATGAGCTGCCGGACTGGACAGATGAGCTGCCATTTCCCATCCGCAGGGATTGGCCCTTGCCCTTGCCCCTCGCTTTGGGGGCGAGACTGGGGGCACAATTCAAGCTCGCCGTTTTCGGGGAGGGGGAGGAGGAAAGAGGGAGGCAGCGGGGGATGCTGGGATGCCTTTGCTGAGTTGCTGCGCGCCTCCCTGCCCCTCTGATCTGTGTGATCTGTTTCACTTTCCAGCGGTGGCAGGTCACCCTGCGATCACTGCTTTTCACTGTCGAGCAGGTCAAGACTTCTTTCTGATGGACAGAATGAGAAGGTTGTTCACTGACAGATGATGTCGAGTCAAGATGTTGGTAGATTGATTCAACGAACGTCCTCCAATCGGGAGATATGAACGATGAGATTGGCGACTTCAGGACTGGCAATGGTGAGTCAATATGAGAGGCAGCCAGACACACACGGCGCCCGCCGATGAGCACGGAGACCACATCTGTGCACAATCGCACGGCTCTTACACTGGTTGGTGTTCCCTCCTGTGTGTGTCGATGCGATGTGTGTGTCAGGGCCGGTCCTCACTCGCACGCCGCAGGACGCTCTCTGCTCCCCGGAGCATATGCTCCCGCGGCACTCGTTCGTCCCGCCACCCTACGCACACCCCTTCTCCACTCCCACCCCTGCCCCTCCTCCATTCGGCTATCACCCGATGGCCTCACCACCACCACCAGCGCCGAAGCCGCCCATAGAAGTCATTGACAGGTGCGCACACGACGAGCGCACAGACCGCATGAGCAGCTGGGCAAGAGTGTGTGTTGTGTTGTGTTGTGTTGTGGATGTGTGTGCAGTGGTCCTCCGTGGACGGCCGAGGACGACGAGTCGTTGCTCAAGTATGCGCGCGAGAGCAGCGGCCGCAGCTGGAAGCACATCGCCAGGCAGTTCTCCAGCCCAACGCGCACCGAGGCCGAGTGCATGAGCCGCTGGAAGACTATCATCAAACCTGGCGCTAAGGTATCGTACCCTAGCCCCGCCACACACATCCAACACTCACGCCCACATCCCTCCTCCCCTCCCTCCTCTGCTGTGTGTTGTGTGTCAGGGGCCCTGGACACCTGAGGAGGATGAGTTTCTGTATGGGCTGGTGCTCGAGTACGGTCCGTCGCGATGGACGGATGTGGCTCGCGAGGTCAACCTGCACATCCACGCCAAGGAGGGCGGCGGGAGGGGGGAGGCCTGGCACGTCCGGACGGGCAAGCAGTGCCGCGAGAGGTGGTGCAACCACCTCGACCCCACCATCAGACGGTGCGTGATGCGACATGGCAGGTGGTGTGATCGTGTCTGTGATCGTGCGTGCGTGTGTGTGTGTGTGGTTGGTTGGTTCAGGGGGGCATGGTCGGCAGAGGAGGATGCCATTATCATCCAGCGGCAGAACGCCATCGGCAACAAGTGGGCTGAAATCGCCAAGGCGCTCAACGGTACGGTACACAAACCAAACCCGCTCCCATGCACCACACACACGGACCCATTAATGCATCTTTCCCCGTCTCTCTCTCTCGTGTGTCAGGTCGCACCGAGAACTCGGTCAAGAACCGGTTCAACTCGCTGATGCGCAAGAACATGCGGGCCATCTACGCCTCCGACGGCTCCGTCACCCTCGTCCCCCCAAACCCCGCTGCAGCCGCCGGCGGATCGGTCACCGCACAAAAGACACAGCCGTTGTCGGGGGGTGGCCCACTGGACAACGGCAAGGGGGGCGAGGCGGTGGTCCACAGCACCACCAACACGCCACCGTCGCCATGGGCGGTATCGGACAGCAGCATGGGCATCGGCGGGAGAGATCGTGGGGGAGATGATGGGCATGGGTGTGAGTGTGGGGATGAGGGGGACAACGAGAGTGGAGACGAGGACATGGTCGATGGCGACGGCGATGGGGAGAGCGACGAGGGGGACGATGAGGATCATGCGACCAGTGGCGACCAGATGGGGCTGTCGGAAGGTACGCGTGTGTGCATTTCTATGTGGGAGGACAGACACACAGACACACAGACACACACACACACACACATCTTGACCATCTCTCTCTGTCTCTCTCTCTCTCCCTCAGTTGACTACTTCAGTCGTCTTCCGCCGTACCAGCAGCAGGGGCGGCACGGGGGAGGGTTAATCGGTGGCAACAAGGCCGTACTGCCTGTCCACACCAGCAGCACCGGCAGCAGCAGGAAGGCCCAGCCCCTGTTCACCTTCGACATCCCCCCTGGCGCACTGCCCGTCCCATGCAGCAGCGAAGACCCCTTCATCGTCTCGCCATACGCACACGTGAGTTCCTCCTTGTCGGCCACCCATCCCTCCCTCCAGCCATCCATCCATTGTGTGTCTGTGTGTGTGTGTGTGTGTGTGTGTGTGTCAGTCAAGTCTTTTCGGTGACCTGCCCACGATGCCCCTCAACGGGACCGGCAGCGGCAGCATCGTCGTGGCCGCCCCACGCCCCTCATCCCAGGCCAACGGCAAGAGCGGCAAACTGTCGCCGCCCAAACCGCTCACCAACGGCCACAGCAGCAGCAGCCACAACGGGAATGGCCACCACAACGGCAACGGGGATGACTCAGTGTATCAGCAGAGCACTACGGTGGGCGGCGGCAACTCCAACAACGGCACCAATGGCTCGGGGTCAGGCGACTCGGACAAGAGCAATGGCAACGGCTCCGAGGGCAGCGACTCGGGCGGTGGCGGGAGCGGCAGCAATAGCAAGAATGGGGCCAAGGGCGCCGGTGGCGGTGGTGGTGGCAAGAACGGACACGGCACGACCACCAGCAATGGCCACTCATCTGCGTCGAAAGGTGGCCACTCCAGCCACAGCCGCACCATCAAGAGCTCCGACACCGGCTCGCGCAGCGACCCCACTCCCCACACCCACGCCCACAGCTCCCCAGTCATGCCGCCGCGATGGAGCCCCCCGGCCTCCCGCGAGCATCGCCCATCTGGTGGCCAGACGGGAATGATATCAGGGTCCAAGAGCGAGCCTGGTGTGTGTGTGGCGGGGGGCCCGTCCACCGATGAGGAAGACATGCAAGACGATCGGTGAGCGACCGAGCGACAGAGAGAGAGAGAGAGAGGCCACCCCGACGAATGGATGGATGGATGGATGTCTCTCTCCGTCTGTGTGTGTGTGTGTGCAGTTCTGCGTATTCTGGCTCTGCGGTGTATCGCGTTCACTACTACAAGCGCCGCCGAGCGTCCCCTGCCCACGGCCACATCCCAGGGCCCCTCCCTTCCCCTCTGGCCGGCCTTCGAGGCCTCAAGCAGCGCATCAGAGACCTCAAGCAGCCACAGGGGCCAGAGGAGCTCAGCCTGGCCACGCACTTGTCGCATATTCGGCAGAGGTACCAGCGACTCGTGTCTGATATTGACGAGGAGGGCGATGAGGATGCGGCGGCGGATGTGGTCATGGCTGGTGGTGACATGGGGGCGTTACCGCCGTTGTTTCAGGACGTTCCCGGCCACAGCGGTCCGCACGGCAGCCGTCCGTCCAACCTCCCTTTGTCCATGTACGCCGGGCTCCCGGTGACGCCGCTCCCAATCGACACACACCCCAATGGCACTAACGGCAAGGAGAGTGGGTACGGCAGCATGTATCCCCGACCGGGTCAGGCCTACCCCCAAGGCAGCCCCCACCTCCGCAGCCACCCCTACTACCTCCCTCTTGGTCACCCACAGCCCCTCCCCCATCATGCCCACTACCATCACCCGATCGCCCACCCCCACTCGCAGACCCACAACTACCTGCATTCACACCCACTCGCCCCCCTGGCTGCACACGCCATGGAGCCGCCACCGCCCTCGGACTCTTCGGGTGGCGGTAAGGGCGGCCACCTGCTGGACGGGGAGAGCGAGGCGCTGCGGAGTCTGCAGGCCATGCAGATTGTGCGGACGGAGGGGAGGATCCAGGGGCCGTCGCCGCCCTACGCCATCCCAACACCGCCCTCTTTTGGATGCTCGGCATAGCTTGCTTAGCTGGGATTGAAATGGATGGATGGATGGATGGATGGATTGGCAAGTGGTGTGTGGGTGATGGGTCTGTCGAGGGATGTTATGCCTTTTTGCTCGCTCATTGGCCGGGGGGATGTACAGATAGACAGACAGACAGCATGATGGACGGGAGCCGTGTACGTGTGTATGTGTGTGTGGTGTGCTGTGATGTGGGGTAGCGGATTTTTCCGGGCGTGTGTGTGTCGTGCGTGCGGCGGCGTGGGTGTGGGGGTGCAATGCGTGCAATGCAGGCAGACAGACAGACAGGCAAGTTTGTGATCACTGATCAAGCCAAAGGGTGACGGGGATGTGCACACGACCACGTTTCTCCTCTGTCTGCCTGCCTGTCTGCCTGTGTCTCTGGAGAGGTACGACGCAGGGCGTGGCTGGGCGGCTCTTGTCTGTCTGTCTGATAGATAGACCTCGAGAAGAGACAAAGCCGACCAGCCCGCCTGACTGCCTCTTGGCTGTCTAGTGAGTGAAGTGGATAGCAGCAAGCGAAGCAGCGTCTGTCTGGTTGTAATCGCGGGCGCATGCTTTGCTGTGATGCTTTTTGGTGGGGTACATGCCTAGCGTGCCTGTGGCTTTGCTATTTCTGCCTGTCGGGGGATGGATTGATGGATTGCGCGTCTCTGTCTGTCTGTCTGTCTGTCTGTCGATGTGTGCAATGGGGAAGCTTTCAACGGTGGATGGGAAGGGGATGGCTACATGGATCTCACTCACACTACCTCTCTTGGTGTCTGTCTATTTTTCCCCATTTGCTGTGGGTGCGCATGGCTGGCGTGTGTGCCGTGCCGCACAGCCAATGGGTGGATGGGATGAGTCGATGAACAGGTCGTTCCTAAAAGGACAGATAACGGCCGTTTGGGCGAGTTGGGGTGGCCTGAGGGCATGGACAGCGTGTGTGCAGGTTGGGTGTCCTTGGCTGAGCTGTTTTTGCGTCACATTGCGGTGCGTGCGTTCGTGCATGCGTGAGCTTTGCATGCCCGTGTGTGTCGACGGACTGGCTAAATCAATCAATGGTCCGAAGAAATAGTGCCTCCGAGGGCTGTGGTGCCGCACGCACACAATATTTTCCTCCTCTTAACACAGTGGTTCCATTATGTAGATTGCAATAAACCATGGCAAAAAAAGTGTCACCTGTGCCCCCCACAGCACATACCAAATGAACGTCTCCTCCCCCACCGCACCTCTCCCTACCCTCCCACACATCGACCCTATAGTGCACCACACACACCACAGCACACCACAGCACAGCACACTAGCCGGCCTCATCTGATCTGACTGATCCATCGTCTGTGTGCATCTCCTTCTCCCTATCGTGGCAGCTGACTCAGCCCCTCGTTGCTGCTGGCCAGTCGAGCCGGGCTGGACGAGGCCGCAGCAGCTGCTGGCACACCTATGGCAGCTCCACCACCAACACCGAGATCCCCACCAGCACTGCTGACGCCCCCTCCAAGACGGGGCGGTTGCGGTGGGCGATGCGCATGGCCGCTCAGCGTCGGACCAGTCGATGGAAGGACACCAACACCAGCAGCAGCGGCACCAGCAGCAGCAGCAGCAGCTCGAGCGGGAGGCGACAAGGCAGCGGCATTGGCATTGGCCCGCGGCGAGGGAGGGTCATTGGTGAGGTCGGTGCTCACGACGGGATTGCCTGGGGGCTGCTGGGGGTGTGGATGGCCTTGGCTTGGGGATCGCGGCACAGCCCAGCCGTTGGTGTGTCTGGGCGAGGCAGGTGGCGGCCAGCCTTGCGCGGCGACCATGCCATTGTGGGCATACCAGCCAGCCACAGTGGACGGCAGCCGACGTTTCAGCGGCGGGATGGCGATGGCCTCCTGCACCCGGGAAGGGCTGACGCGCGCCAGTTCCGCCGCCTCCACCTGGCTCAACGGCGTGTGCAGAAAACGGCTGTCGATGTGGTTGTAATACCTTCATCACACACACACACACACACACACAAACTGGTGTGTGTCCCCTCCCTCCCTCCCTCCCTCTCTGTGTGCCCACATACCAGTCTCTGACGATGGTTGGGCTCTTTTTGCCGCGTCTGCCGACGCCCGTGAGGGCCTCGAAGCGTGTGACCATCTCGGCAACGTACTGCCAGTCGATCTCATAGAAGTCCGGCGGCGGCCAGCGCATATAGACCCTGAGTGACCAAACCAGCGAACCAATCGATGGATTGAACACACGCACACACACACGCACACACGCACACACACACACACACGCACACACGTACCACTCGGTGGTATCGGACGGAAGGCTGGGGTCATCCTCTCTCCGCAGCGCCCGCAGGTATCGCACCAGCAGCTTAACAAAGAGGTCCGAGGAGCAAGTGAACCGCTCCCCGACGGCCTTGGCGAGCTCCGCCTGAATGCCGTATTCCATGTCGTCGGGCTGTGCGCCGCGCCGCCCGATGCGCAGTGCGTTTGCCTGCGGGCATAGGCTGCTGAGCTCCTGCTGCAGGACGGCCGATGCGACCCAATTGGCCGTCTCGCCCGCCCGGCGCAGAGCTGTCATGAAGTCCATGTCGGCCGCTTCCCACGCCTGAACCAACGAAGGCAGCAGATGCGATACGGCCATTCGCACGTTTTCTCCCGCCGTCTGTGGTTTCATTCATTAATCTGTGAGTGCCTTACGGCAGTGACTGCGCGCCATATGGTGTTCCAGTGCGCCCAGATGTTGGCTGGGACGTTCTCGCAATCGTGGTCGAAGTTGCGTACCATGGCCAGCGTGAGCACTGTACCCGAGGGCACCGCTCCGAAGGCCCTGCAGCAGACCGACACAGATGGAAAAATGATTCTGCAGGTTTGTCGGTGTCTTGGCTTGTTGGTTTGATGTGACCTGAGCATCTTGAAGAGGATCCAGTCGACGTCGCAGGTGCCCGTTGGGCCGACGTCAGTCTTCTGTTGCCGCTTCCTGCCGCCCATACCCACGCCCATACCCATGCCAGCCGTCTCATACTCATCTTCTGCACAACACACACGCACACAAACACACACACACACACACACACACAGAGAGAGAGAGAGAGGAGAATGGGCCTCACTATCCCTCCATGCAGTTAGCCAGCCATTTCTGACCCTCCTGACGATCCTGCTCCAGCAGCGGGCCCTCTTCCTCAAGGTCGACGAACTCTTCATCCTCCTCCCGCCGACGCCGATGCGCGTAATGCCCCCGCCGCATACTCATGCCGTGGATACTCCGCACGCGGCTCTCGATGGTATCCATCTCCTCCTCCCCACTGTCCCTGCTCGAAGGCACCATGCTGCCCGGGTCCACATCGTCGGGGTTCTGCCGGGGGCGCCGGCGACGCGCTGACCGCTCCAGAGGGGTAGGGGCCTCATCTTGCTCGGGATGGGGAACCAGCAGCCGGGCGGCCTGGTAGAGGAAGTCTGGCGATGTGGGATCTGACAGAGAAACAGCCAGACAGACAGACAGACAGGCAGACATCCAGACAGGCTGGTCTTTCGGGCATTGTTTGCTGGGTGGTGATTACCGAGTCCTTTGAGAGCCTCGTTTTGCCCGAGGAGGTCAGCGTCGCCGTCCTTGTCTGATCCGACGAAGGTTGCGGTGGAGAAGGTGGTGACGCCGCCTTCGCTGAGCTGAACCCTGGCCTTGTGGGCGTAGGTCTGCAAGATGGCGTCAATCGACGACCGCTCGAATGCCGCTGCCTCCTCGCTCGTCGTCTCGTCAGCTGAAGGCAGGTGCACCCAAGGAAAGACAGAGAGAGAAAGTGGCGAATCTTGTGTGTGTGTGTGTGTGTGCGTGTGTGTGTACGTTTGAATGCGGCGAATATGCCTTTGGTGAGGAGCTCTTCCTCCTGCTTTTTGTCGAGCTTGGTGGCCTGCTGACCTGACCCGCCCATCAACACCTACACACACACATACACACACACCTCTTCGCACACGCACACACCCCCGACATACACGCATTTAAAGCTGACTGACCTTCTCGAGCCCAAGTTTCTTCCCTGCAATGTCGAAGAGCAGGTGCTGCTCGTAGGTCTGCTTCATGACGAGCTGGTAGACCTGTACCTCCTCAGTCTGGCCGATGCGGTGGCACCTGCTCTGCGCCTGGAGGTCATGCTGGGGATTGAAGTCGCTGTCGTAGTGCACCACGGCCGTAGCGGCCGTGAGGTTGATGCCCACACCGCCCGAACGAGTGGTCGATAGGAAGATGAATCGCTCGGGGTCGCTGTTGAACCTGGTTGACAGACACACAGGCACACAGGCATCTGAGTTCCTCGTCTCTTGAGTGTACCTTTCCTAACTGGTGTCCGCACCTGTCGATGGCGAGCTGTCTTTCCTCCCCCTTGGTCTGTCCATCGACTCGCTCCCACAGCCACCCACACAGCTCGATGTAGTCCTCCAGGCGGTCCAACGTCTGTGTGAACTGCGAGAAGAGGAGCACTTTCCTGTTCTCCTGTTTGAGCTTGTGCAGGAGCTTGTCGAGGAACACCAGCTTCCCCGACACCTGGCGGTGCAAACGGCGCAGGTACGCCGCATCGCTCTCGCCAGCTGCACCCACCCCACACAGAGAGGAGAGGATATCAGTCTGTGGTGTGCCTGTCGGTAGTGTGGTCTGTCTGTCTGTTGGCACATTCCCTGACTGACCTTCCTGCTTGGCCTGCTCTCCGAGCTTTCCGTCCTTGAGCAGCTCGAACAGATTCTGCACCAAGTAGGGATGGTTGCAGACCTTCCGAAGCTGCATCAATGAATGACATGAGAGCACCACACACACGACAGCAGTGCCAGCTGGTGTGGTGTTTTCCCCGCACACACACGAGCTTACCGCCATGGGAACGTTCTTCAGGGCGTACCAGCGCCATCCACCTTGCTGTTCTGTCAGGACTCCCTTGCCGTAGACGAGGGCGTAGCAGCGCTTCTGCAGCAGGGTGAGGGGGATCTGCACGATCTGCACCTCCTTGGGCGGCAGATCCTTCAGCACACCCGTCTTCTCCCTATACACCCACACAGAAAGGTGAGAACGTGCGTGTGGGTGGGGTGCGTCATCAGGGTGGCCCACCTTCTCAGGTAGTACGGCACCATGAGCTCTCTCAGCCTGTCCACACGGTCACTGCAGGCAGACAGACAGACAGACAGGCCACACAACGCAGAGAATGCCGGCTGCACTGCGCGCGTGTGTTGTCCGTACGTGTGTTCCTCCAGCTCGCCAAACTCCGCCAAGAAACGGGACTGCGACCTGTGCACACACACACACACGCACGCGCATGTGGAAAGACATACACACACGGGTGAGTCCCTTTCCTTCCATGTGGCTGCCTGCTGGCTTCCCAGCCATGCATATGCATGCAGCAGGTGCGGAGCGTGCGCACACACCATATGTTGTCGTCTTTGGGTGTGTCTTGGCGGGCTCCCTTGCCAGACGGCTCCTCCTTGTATGGGAAGCGTGGCGGGTCGGCCAGGTGCAAAAAGGGGAAGATCTCGGCGGGGCGGTTCTGCACCAGAGTGCCTGAAGGAATGAACAAAAAGAGAGAGAAAAGGCAACGGACGGGCAGTGGTGTGAAGGAAGGCGTGATATGAGTGAGTGGTCCCCGTCGGTCCGTCCCCCACCCCTAACGACCGGTGAGCATGATGAACATGTCGGCTTTGACCCGCTCGACGATAGTCATGAACACCTGAGTCTCCGCCCCGCTCTACAGACGGCACGCACACACCACACAGCACCCAACACACACATGGATGGATCGATGGATGGCGGCCCTACTGCTCACCCTGAGGCGCTGCACCTCATCCAGGATGACCGCCGTCCACTTCCAGCTGCCCCCATCACGTTGGCACATGCTCGCGAACTCGGCCATGGCGAGCATCTCGTAACTGCACAGCACCACGTCGGGCTTCATCACCTTGACTCGCCACTTGTCGGCCGCAGCAGCGGCAGCATGCACATTGGGGACCGTCTGGCCCGTCTGGGCGTCCATCCACCGAATCTCGTGGCTCATGATGAGCTGACGGTCCTCAACGCCCCCTGCACGCAACACACATGAATGGATGGATGGATGGATGGATGGGCGTACACAGAGGCATACCGAGGAATGGCAGCACGTTAAGGTGGGGAGTCCACTGCTCAAACTCCCGCCGCCAATTCAGCAGGGTCGTCTTGGGCACCACACACAGCACATGCGGCCGTACTCCACCCGAGGCCCCACTCGCCCGGTCCATGAGGTGCTCCGCCGTCACAATCGACTGGCAGCTCTTCCCCAGCCCCATCTCGTCACACAGGAGCGCGCCGCGGCTCTGCGAGTGGTTCCAGAGAATCCACTGGATGCCTTTTAGCTGGTGCGGCAGCAGCGACATGTACCGCGCTTCATCGACCGCAGTGGTCGCATCGCCATTGGTTTTGGAGGGGAGGTAGGTGCCGTCGGGCAGCACCTTGCGAGCCGCGAAATCCGTCCAGCTGGCGCTGACGCCATCGGTGACCTGGAGAGCCTTCGCTGCGTCACCATCAGTATCAGCAGCGGCAGCAGCGGCAGCAGCAGGAGGGTTCGAAGGTGATTGTGTCGGTGGCTGTGGGTCGGCTGCCCCCGCCGCCGCTGCGGCCTTGAGGGCCTCTTCGCGCATCTTGGCGAGCTGGTCAGGGGGCGGCGGTGTGAACGTTGGAAAGACAAACGACGCATTGGCCTCCTCAAACCTGATGAATGAAGTAATCGGACGGACATACAGCGGTTGCCTTCGTGGTGCGCGCTTGTGTGTCTGCCGCCTGCCCACCCACCTCTGTATGGCGCGTCTGTCTTTGTGAGATGTGAGTGCGGTGGCATTCTCCCATGTCGAGTCCTTGTAGCCGCGCATGTGCCACTTGACCAGATACTGACGCTCGCCTGCCACAGAGGAGGGCGAAGACGACGGCGACGCTGACGTCGGGCTGCGGGTCCTCTGGTGGGCAAGAAGGGGAGGGAGGGAGGGAGGGAGGGAGGGAGACGACACAGGCGGCGAATAAGAGGGGGTGCATCAATGTGTCCCTGGGTGTGTGTCTGTGTGTGTGACTTACCATTCGGACAGCGACGATGCGGTCGACCTGTTGGTAGAGCTCGTGGGTGCCCCTCTCCATCGCTGCATGCGACACGGAATAGATGGATGGATGGATTGACGGCGGATCCATGTCATGTGTGTCTGTCTGTCTGCCCACCTGAGAGCCCGTATGGTCTGGCGATGTTGTTAGTGCGCCATCGGTTGAAGTAGCCCTTCCCCGCCACTACCAACACCTCCGCCTCAGTCATCCACCGCAGAGCTCTGCAATGCAAGAGCCGAGCGCGTCTGATCGTTGCTCTCGTGTTCTACCTGCCGCCTATTCCTTACCGATACGACTCGCCCTTCATCTTGACGAGCAGTTTGACCTCGTCCGAGCCATCCTCCGCCCTGTCGTGCGCCAGGATGGCCTCGATGCGCCCACTGCCCTCCTCACCTTCATGCTCGTCATCCTGACACCCACCCAAAGAAGAGGTACAGATCGGCGTGCAACAAACCCCAGTCCCCATGTGTGTTGGTGTGCCTTCTCCTCACTCACCTCGTGCTCCGGTTCCGGCGGCTTCTTCTGTCTCTTCTTCTGTTTCTTCTTCTTGACGGCCTTCCTCTTGGGGCTGGTCGCGGCACCACTCGCCGCAGGCCGCAGGATAAGCAGCCGGTCCTCGTCCCCAGACTCGTTGGAGGAAGACTCCGGGGACGACTGGGGCTGGTCGACGGCCATACCCACCGGTTCGTCGTCTTGCTGACCGCCATCCGCTTCAAACTCCTCCTGGCCCTCCTCCTCCGTGTTGCCGCCGTCCTCCTTGCTGCTGTCCTCCTTCGCTAGGCCTAGCTCCCTGCACAAATTGGAACCAACGGAGGAGCGAAAAGGGGCCATGCTCATGGTGGGTGTGTGTGTCTGTCTGTCTGTCTGTCTGTCTGTGGCATCCATCCATTGTCTTACGTGCATGTGGGGCACCACCAGTTTTCCTCCGGCACGGCGGTCAGCCTGGGCTCCACAGGGACGCATGGCGGATGGAAGCCGCTGTCGCATCCCTCACACAGCATGATGGTTGGCGGCTCCTTGTTGCTGCCGCACACGATGCACCCAATGTCGTCGAAGCGAACCTGCAGGGCGTCCCTTAGTGCCCTCTGCCGCTCCTGCACCTCCACCAAATTATCCTCGTCGTCGGCAGCATCGCTGAGAGGCTCCTGCCGATACGCCTCCGCGAATGGGACGTAGTTGGTGCCAGTGGACGGAAAGAGATCAAAGTTTCGCGCGTGCCCACTGACAGACAGACAGACAGTCAATCCATGCGATGCATGTTCGTGCGTGTATAGTGCAGCTGTGCGTACTAATTTCTGGATCTGAAGAAGTAGAGGTTGGCGTCCTGCTGCCTGGTCTCCGGCATGGGCGTCGCGAGGTCTTGATAGGTCTGCGGATCGTTCAAGTCCACAAGCTTGGCCGGCTCGGCAGCGACGCCATGCTGATCCTCGTCGTCGCCGGTACGTCGGGAACGGGCCCAGCACACCAGCTGAATGCCAACACGGCCCACAGCACAGCACAGCAGAGCAGAGGAAACCTCGGTGAGCGAGAGCGAGTCAAGCACAATGATTGATTGTCAGCGATTGTGTGCGGTGCTTCTGTACCAGTCGATGGGAACTGTTGTCTGTCGGCGGTGAGCCACCGCCAGGCATCCTGAAACCGATGAGGGAGCACGAGAGGCTGAGACGATCGCTCCTGTGTGGGCCGAGTGGCCGCGGGTTTTGTGGGCGAGTGATTTAAGATCAGACTCGGAGGCTCGAATTCATTGCTTGACGTTGGATGCGTCTTGCACGCGTCACACGCATGATTCAAACTCTCACGATGGTCAATCGCTCACTCACTCACGGCATCCTGACATAAAAACCGACCGGTCCATCCATCGACAATCATTCCATCCATCCACTCACTCACTCACTGACTCACTGACTCACTGACTCACTGTCTTTCTTGACTGATTCACATGCACTGCACTGCTTCGATCGATCGATCGATCGATCGAGAAGCCCAACCATTTCAATGTATGTATCTACACACCACACGGTACGTACACGCACTTGAACACACGCAGCAATCCATCAACACACCAAGGCGTGACCTGACAGACAGGCAGGCAGGCAGGCATCACAGCCGCCTAGAAACTCTGTTGACACAGTGGGAGCAGTGGTCCCCTCATCCGTCAATCAAGAAAAATCGAAAGACAAGTAGCGAAGGAAAGCGGCAGGAAGTCAGCGAGAGGGAAAGATGGATGGATGGATACCGGTGACAGACATATCGGGCCAGCCAGAGGGAGAGAGAGAAGACACACTTGCGTTGGCTGGCTCCATGACGGAGAAAAATCACAAACGAGTGGGCTGAGCGTTATGTGGTGTGATATAGAGTATACATTTGCAGAGACAGACACGCAGAGAGACTAAACGCTAATTTGCCTAGGTACATTGGGCGGCCCCGATCTGATCTGTGTTGCCGTGACAGAGAACTTGTGTATGCATATATCTACAAAATGCCGAGATGGTCATCATGATGAAACCCTCACAAGACAAGCGCTCTCGCTCTCGCTCTCTCTCGTTCGCTCGCTGCATTTGCCGACCACGCCAGAGCACAGCACAGATGGGACGGGGAGGGGTGGGTCAGGCTGGCTGGCTGCCCCGAGTAAGTCGAGCCGAGCAGGAGACAGAGAGAGAAAGTGGCGTCAGCTAGTGTGTGCCTATGTGTATCTACAAGATGAGACAGAAGAGAGACGAGATGGCGGGTTGCCTGCCCTCAGCTAGTCACCCCCTCTCCCCCTCTCGCCCCTCCCCCCCTCTCTGTCCCTCACAAGGGTAAGCCACCCATTCACTCACTCACGTGAGGGTCAGCTCATTGCCCTCTCTCTTGCCCTCCCTGGCAGCGCCGGCATCCTCCCTCACCCCATGGTGCGTGTGGGTGTCCTTCCCGCCCTCCTGCCCCGCCGCCGCCGCCGCCACCGGCGGCCCACCTCGCCTGCCGCCCGCGATGACCGATGCGGGTGTGTCGCTCACGTCAACCACATCGCCAAACCCGCGAGTAAGCGGTGCTGCCGCTGGCTGCTGCTGCCGGCTGTCGGGCTGCTGTTCAGACGGCTGGGCGGGCGGTGGCTGCTGCTCCTCGTGTTCGTGTTCATGTGCAGCGGCTTCCTCCACCACCTCCTCGAGCAGTGTGTGGTTGGGGTCTTTCGGCGCATTGGCGATGCTGGAGAGGATGGCCGCATAGATAATCTCGATTGAGTCCACCCTGACCACACAAGACGCAGACAGAGGGACTGGCGCGTTGGTGAATCTGGTCTGCCTATCTCCCTCACTGGTACTCACCAGAGTAGCCTGTGTCTGACGGGTACGATGGTGTAAGTCAGAATGCCGACGAGCGGCCAGAGCTTCAAGCCCGCCTTCAGCAGCGTCCACCACTTCTTGGCCTGCACCAGCAGCAGTCAACGCAAGACACGCCGCTTGACGTCTTGCCAAGCAACCAAGCGCTTTCCCACTGTTTGCTTACGTAGTCGTCCCACGCCTGCTTGAACGTCTTGCCGTTCATCGCCTCAAGCAACACGAAGTACACCGTGTTGTAGAACGGCACATACGCCAGCCTGTGCGGTGCGACCACCACACACACAGACCCAAGACACACACACCAATGAAGGCAATCGACACTCTCATTCATATGAGCCGTCTGTCATGCTCACTCACTGGTCGAACAGCAGCTTTACTGGCCATGGGAGCGGCCAATCGCCGTTCCAGTCGTAGTAGAAATGCGCCAGCGGCCCGAGGACCACAAATCCCAGCAACGTATTCCGCAGAATACGCCACCTGCACACACAGCACTCTACCTCATGGGTGCCCGAGACGCGGCGCATCCAATGCTTTCGGTTGTCCACCTGACCTGTCGACGAGCAGTGGGTCCCTCCCCGCGTCCGTGTTCTCGACCCACTGGGCGATCCAGTCACCGATAAAGTACGTGGCGCCAGTGAGGACGCTCTTGGTGAGGATCGGCTCTCTGGCCAGGGCGGCCTCGTATGCATTCCAGTTGGCCAGGGGGAGCCGATACAGCACCTCCTCGAAAGACCACCCTCTCCAGATGTCAGAGTCAACCGTCGAAAACTGATACACCATCGATCCACCATCCATCCATGTGTGTCTGCGCCTGTCTGTCTGGCTCATGCGTGTGTCGCACCGCACCCACCTGTAGGAAGATGTAGGCGGCGACCGCAGCGAGAACCGCGACGTTTTGCGTCTGGTGTTGCGATGATGCATCCGACACACACCAGATCGAAACAAACTTGTCTTCTTCCCCGTGTCTTTCCCACCCACCTGTGCAGTGCGCGTCTGTGCGAGGCTCGACACGCCCTCGTCCATGGCACTCATAACCACCTTGGTCACGCTTTCCTTGACCGTCCTTACCACCGGACGTAGCTCCTCCTCAACAGCATGCTCCACCTCCTCTATTGTCGGAATGTGCGGCTCTTCGGCAGCAGGCTTGCGCGGCTCCTCCAGTGGCCCTTCCGACATGGCCATCGCTGGTTTGCTGCCCCGCCGCCGCCATAGCGTGTTTGTCCGCGTGAGTGGCTGCACGAGGCCTGGAGTGAAAGCAGAAGCTGTGCTGGCGCCATGGAGCAGCAGAACCAGGGGAAACAACGCCATTCTTCGGGCAGCTGCTAAGGAGTGCCTCTCGCCCGTCCAAGCCGTCCAAGCAGGAGTGCCTCACGACAAGTACCAAGCAGACGCCGTCGCAGATGGCGTCAGTACCTGCTGTAGTTAGTACTTCATGCCACAGCCCAGCACCAGATTGTCTTGCAGCAGCAGCGGTTTCAGGGAGCACCCTAGGTGGCCTGACGGCCAAGTCCCCTGTGGGTCTGTCCAACATGAAACAGGCACCCTAACATGCAACCCGGACACGAAACACGCAGC